TGGCTGCTTGGGGCTGCCAAAACCCTGGAGCCGGCCCTGACTGATACTGGTCTGTGAGTATTACACATCCCTCCCCACTGGTCTGGGGGGCTGAGACAGCTACCATGGTGCATGATTCCCTGGGATGGTGCCAGCTATCTATAACCAGCCCATTCCCCTCCATCAGTGCAAGGGTAGCTCTCCCTTCTGATCACACCAGCCAGGAGAGTTTCCTAGGACTCCGTGTGTGAGCAGCAGCCTGCAACAGTCCTTGCGATATGAGTATCTCGGGGTGGGGAGGGGGCCTGCGAGTTGGGAGACACAACCCCTCCCCATGCATAAGTGGGTGAGGGATGATGGTGATCCACTAGTGTGATGTGTGTGAATGAAACACATCACATTGCTGTCAGTGCACAGTGTTGAGTGTGATTGTTCAGCGGACTTGTGGCCTCTTGTGCTTGTGCACACACAGGGGAACAGTTTCACATGGGTCCTCTGGGGGTGGGTGATGGTGCAATGGATGTGTTGCCCCTGCTTGGGCATGTGTGTGCAAGCTGATTGTGGACTTAGGCATGATCGTGTACTGACATTGCCCCTGAGCGTGCAACACTGATTGTGGAATATAACACACAGTTCCTTTAGTACGTATACATGTGTGTGCAACCAACACTCTTCCGCTCTGTGTGTTTGTGCAACTCACACATTGCTGCTGAGTGTGTGTGTTTCTGTGCATAGGTGTGCAATTGCACAATGAAAACCTTGCTCCTTTCCGCTTTTTTGTGATTGTGCAACATACACACTCCCCCTGGGTGTGCAGGTGTGCAGCAGCGACATCCGACTCCCTTGAGTAGGCATTTTGCCCATTACTGAAAAGCCAGCACCCAAAATCTATGCCCAGAGTTTTAGGATTCAGATAGGCAATGTGATGGGAGAAAGGGGGAAAGCGCACTGGTGTGTATGGTGGGGGGGTAATAGCTTTGGGGTGTGTGTGTAGGTGGAATAGCTCTGGTGCGTGTATGCAGGTGTGGGGTAATAGCTCTGGTGCGCCTGTGTGTGTGTGTGTGTGTGTGTGTGTGTGTGTGTGTGCACGTGCATGCACAGGTGGAATAGCTTGGGTGTGTGTATGCAGGTGTGTGCGGTAATAGCTCTGGTGCCTGTGTGTGTTTGTGCAGGTGGAATAGCTTTGGTGCATGTGTGTGTGGAGGGGGAGCATGCTGGTGTGGGGGGGAATACTATGGGGTGTATGGGTGTATGTGTGGAGTAGATTTGGTGTGTGTGTGGGACAATAGCTCTAGACATGTACACGTGGGTGGGGGGCTATAACTCTCGGGGCAATAGCTCAGGTGTGTGTGTTGGGCAATAGCTGTGGTGCGTGTATGTGGGGGTGAATAGCTCTGATGCATGGGGGGGGCTGGGAATAGCTCTGATATGTATGTGGAGAGGGCAATCACTCTGGTGTGGGTGGGGGGTGGGAATAGCTCTGTGTCAGGGACTGGGAGTCAGAGCCAGAGTCAGGATCAGGGCTGGAGCAGACTGGAGCTCGACAGGAACCAGGCAGGAGTAGGTCTGGAGCAAGGGTGGAATGAGGCCGGAGCATGGCTGGAGTAAAGCTGTGAACAATTCATGCACCTGCTGCTGCTGAGATTAAATGAAGACCTCTTGGCTCTTTTCCAGCCAATCAGGTGGGCCGGCCAGTCAGGCCCAGCTGGGCTCATTAACCTGCCTGAAAGCTGAACCGGCCAGCCCTCAGGTTTAGCCGAGGGAATGTAAGCCCACAGTTCCTGACATACCGACCCCTTTCAAGGGTGCCTTCTAGGGGCCCTCAGCCTGTGCTACTTGGGATGGGCCTGATGAAAGTCCTGTAGTAACTGTGGTGCATGAACTTTCTCTGCCGGTTCCCATGACTGGTCATTAGGACCATAGCCCTCCCATTTCATTAAGTAATGAAGCTTGCCCTATACTTGCTTGGAGTCAATAATTTGTTGGACAAGGTATTTTTCTTGTCCAGGGACTGCAATGGGTAGCAATGACAGATCGTATTGACCTGGGAAGGGGTCCACAAGAGGGAGCTATGGAACACAGGATGGGTCTTCATTGACTCTGGTAATAGAAACATGAATATCACTGGGTTGATCTGCTTGAGAACCTTGAATGGGCCTAGCTATTGATGATAGCTGGGTTGATCTGAGATTTCAAGTTGATAGCCAGACTTTGTCCCCAGTGCTAAAGTGAGGTGTGGCATGGTAGCCCTGATCAGCATAACACTTGTAGGTTTCCTTGGAGGCTTCCAGATGTTCTGTAAGTTCTTGTTGCATGTGATTCAGATACGTGACCGGTCTGCCGCTGCAGGAACTGGGGAGTTTGTGGGCAATGCTGGGTGAAAGCAGAGATAAAAGCCGTAATTTTTGTGGAATGAGCTCTATTGGGTGGAGGCATGGAATGAATTGTTGTAGGTGAACTTGACTTATGACAGGAGGGAGACCCAATTATCCTGGTGATAATTTAAGAACCACTGGAGGTATTGCTCTATGATCTGGTTTATCTGTTCTGTCTGTCCATTGGCCTGAGGTAAAGA